TAGGGTTTCTCTGTGTAGCTTTGTCCTAGCATGTGCTCTATAGACAAGGCTGGCCTCGAATTCACAGAGATCTATCTGCCTTTGCCTCCCAAGTACTGGGAGTAAAGGCATGGGCCACCACAGCCTGTCTTAATGTAAGATTTAATATAATTTTCTTGTGCATACTTGGCCTGCCCACACAGTGACAGAGTACATACTATAAGGTCCATACATTTTCAGTAGCTCAAGAGATGTATGTTTTAAATTAATTAATGCTTGTACTCCAAAAAAATGTGACAATGCCTTTTGAGTCTAGGAGAAAGCCATTTGTAAGCTTCTCCTTCCAAACATAAAACTACCAACACAAATTCCAAAAAACTTCCTATTCCCCATAATCCTCTACATGTTTGGTGGTGTGAAGGTTTAAGCTCAGCCAATTAGCCACCCATGACAGTGGAGTTAATCACATAATCTCAGAGAGTGTCAGGGCGCAGTGGAGTATGCAATGATTCTTTCTCTTTACAAAGCTCTAGCTAATTGTGAAGCTCAGCAATGCTCCAGACGCAAAGGGCAGTGGGCTTTCAAGTCCGAAGCTGTGTCACTGCTTATCGCCTTCCAAGGGACACTGTTACACAGGGGCTTCTTTAACAACTGTCCAAATACTTAAATTAGCCAACCATTGCTTATTTAGACCCAGGCTTACTGCTCTAGAATAATGATGGGTAATCTGCAAGGTAAAAATGAAGACTCAGTCACATGATGGCTACACATTCAATTATGTGATCGGCAAATTAATGTCTGCTTAAAGGAAGTGTTAATCCAAACTGACGTTTGACAATATGCTTCTCTCCTTAATAAGCTGTCTGTGAAGAGGAGAACGGAAGAGAGGCACAGTTGGAGACCCTTGGCAATGAGGGACAGGCTTTACAAAGCACACAACAGCAGGGGACTTTGGCTTCAGCATCCCTTCACTCACTTAGTACCCTTAGGTTTCCACATCAGCAATGGTGCCATCTCCCTGCCTATGTAGAGCAAGGTAAACCAACCTGGGAGTCCATTTTCATAACCGTGAAGCTGAGCTCCCAGGGACTTCCCTAATAATATCGTGGTGCAGCTTTTATCTAGTATGTGTTTTCCTACTGGTTGGACTTCCCCAGACTGTCTGCAAGACTTGAACTTCTCATATGGACACAGTTATATTCCTGTTGGGGTGAACACAATGGAGCTAACTAACCCCAGCCCAACGATGATTTGCCAAGGAACTGAAATTCACCTTCTAATCCTATACCATTCTCTTTCCCTTGTGTTTCATCATCTGCAATGATTCTACGTTTTCATGGTAATTGGTACCTATTTGCCACATTGATTTCTCACACAAGCCGGGGCCATGTTCTGTGAAATGGGCCACCAGACCTCAGCCGTCACTTCTGGACAGTGCTTATGTACTTTTTAAATGCAACTTCTCTGGAAGCTCACTAAACAAAAAGCTCTGCATGCATTGGCCTTGGCTCTATCCTGAAGAAATACAGACAAGTTCAGTCAGGGACTTCAAATGTTGCAAACTCAAGAGTTCATTTATTGTTGCTTCAGTTTCTTCTTGGTCTGGTCTCTCTGTCCCCAAGTCACCCCAACCATTTACCAACAAACTAATATGCAACTATTTTCAGTCCTGGTGGTTCAACCTTAATACATATGACCAATAGGAGGCAATCCTAATGACAGGAATTAAAAGGTCCCCAGGCCTCCAACCAAAACCAAAACTACCATTGCTCTGAATTTAACCAGTTCTCTAAAAATTCTCCCAACAATCCATTTGCTTTGGTTTAAATCCTGGGAGCTGAGGAAGTTTTGATTAAAATATCCACAGAAGATAAGCTGCTACTCAACACTGATCCTCTAGCTAGAACTAATTTAAAACGGTCTACTGATGACTAAGGCAACAAGCAGCACACTGGGTCCTGAAAGGGGACTCTTGGGAGGGTGATTGCCAGGGACAGCACATGGAAAGGCTGGCCAAGGAGGCCAGGTCACTGGGAAGGAAAACCCAGGACAGGTGAGACAGAAGGTTGCCACAGCTGACAGCAGCATGGGCTTTCCATAACCTGATGGTGACACAATGCTCCAGTGATGGCATCGTCTTTGTAGACATGTCACTTCTTGCAAAGCTTTTACTGGCAATCACCTTACCTGGTCCTAACAACAGTTAAAATGGGCAGAACTCAGGTCCAGTTAAAAATCAATAAATTTGAAGCTAAGCCCAGATGATTGAAGGACTAGTAAGCTGCCTGGCCCAGTTCTTTAGAGTATGTAAAAGTTATAATTTGATATCTAGGGGCTGGAAAGATGGCTCAGTGGTTATGATCCTATACTGCTCTTGCAGAGGACCAGAGTTTGGTTCCTAGCACCCACACCAGGTGACTTAAAACCACCATTAACTTCAGGTCCAGCAGGCTTTATTGCCTCTGGTTTCCAAGGACACCTGCACTCATGTATGTATATACACAGGTACATACATACACACAATTAAAATGGTAAAAATAAAATTTTTAAATAAAATAAAATGGTAAAAATATTTTTTGTTGTTTTTTTGAGACAAGATTTCTCTGTGTAACAGCCCTGGCCATCCTGAAACTCACTTTGTAGACCAGGCTGGCCTCAAACTCAGCCTGTTTCTGTCTCCTAAATCCTGGGATTAAAGGTGTGTGCCATCACCACCTGACCAAATACATTTTTCTTTAAAAAAGACTTTATGTCTAAAATACAACTTCTCCAACAGACTGACTTTAGCCCTGACTACCCCTCCTGCCTCCTGAAAAGAGATACTGCAGAGAGCTGCTCAGCTAGCAGGGTCTGCCCAGAAAGCACACAGAACAATGTATGTTCCGCTGCCTTACTCTCTGATAGGAGGCAGCGAGTCAGCCTGCTACCTACCAGATACCTCATGGAGCTTCTCCAGCCTCACTGCCATCGGTGAGGGCACGGAAGACGCCTGCACTTCCCCCTTTTCCTTTCTCTGCCTGTTTGTGGTGAGCCTCTTGGGAGGCTCTGATGTAAAGTGCCCCAGTTAAGATGGTGGCACATGTGTTTAATCCCAGCACTAGGGAAAGCAGAGGAAGGAATTCAGCCTGGCCTACATAGAGTTCCAGGTTTTCTAGGACTATATAGTCAGACTCTGATGCAGAAAAATAGGGGAGAGGAAGGTACAAAGCAGTAATTTTCAAATCATGCAAGACCCTGCAAAAATAGACACTAATTCACAAGCTGGGAGCTGTGATTCTGAATGTTAGCTTGTGACCCGGGTTTTGCCACTCACGCTCTGGAATAGGTAAGAGAGACAGGGACACAGAGATACTGAGGCACAGAGATGCAGAAACAAAGAGATACAGATTCAGAGACAAAGAGGCAGAGACATAGAGACACGGAAACAAAGAGACACTGAGACACAGAGATGCAGAGACATTGAGACAAAGACAGAGACACTGAGACACAGAGACTGCATAAGTAGGAATAGAAGACAGGTAAGATAGAACAAAAACGTTAAAACCCAAACCACAAAGGTTCTCATTCTTCAGGTGGCCCCTAGCATCATCAAACGACAATTAATAGAGAATATTACTACAGTCTGGTGCTTGCAGTATCCTATCAAATGGTAAGCATCACTATCCCCCATGACCACGTCTACCATGACCACATGAGTATCCTCTCTCCCCTTGGTCACCATTCTCCATGAAGTACATCTGCCACCAACTGCCCCTATTAACTTCTTTTTGAGACGGGGTCTCACTCTGTGGCCCAGGCTGGCCTACAAATCCCAGCAATGCTCCGTTTCATAGGTGCCGAGACTACAGGCGTAAATAACTATGCCTGGCCTATTTCTTCTCTTCCCCATGATGAAGTTCTTACTGGAAGAAGCCATTTCTTCTCACCTTGAATTCCTCTGCCTACCTGTCTTGGCTCCACAATCTGGACCAATGTCCGCATCTCTTTACCCCCTTGTATGTACGGGACTGAGCACTGCCAGAGAACCCTGAGGCGCCTCAGTAAGTCAGCTCCACAAGCTTCCACCGGCATTTTAAAGCCTTGCCCAGGAAACCACTCCTCTTCCCTAACCCAAGATTTCATTCATCACAAAACCGACCTAACTTCACCTAGCTTTGTACATTTTGTAAATTCTGTCTGATACCTTGGCTTACCTGCTCCCAAGAAGTGTGGAACCAACAGGAATAAACTGCTGCTCCCCCACCAGCTCTTCCTAGGACGGTGGTTTGCAAGCCTGGCTGTTTACAGCAATCACCTGGGACCACCCACCCCAACCCGCCACACTTGGAGTGAAGTCTGAGGTGGGGCCCGACAGTGTGGCCCTTAGCAAGCTACATCATTCCTAAAAACTAAGCAGAAAGCCGATCCCCCGACTCTCCAAAATGGACACATCTAGTCATTGCTAGAGGACAGAGAAGGGGAGTTTCTCTTCTGGGTTCATTTTCTTCTATGATGTTCCCAGTCATGAACTTAAGTTCCAGAAGCCGGGAGAGGCCAATGCAAAAGATATAACAATTTCTCCTTCATTAGCCCCAGCAATGGAGGCTGAATTCAGGGCAGATGCCGGCTATATGCAGTGCCAATTGCTGCCTGGCAGAGAACCTGGAGAAGCCAGCCCAGGAACCCTTCCTTCTCTCTGTGACCTCGCCCTTGTCTAACCAGGACACCATTTTCAACAAGCCAACTAAAGTGTAGCAACTTCAGGAATTTACAAGACAGAAAACTCAAAAAATTGCGAAAGGAAATTTCTGACTGTGTTCTCCATAAGTCTGCCCCACCCAATATGAGCTTAAGTTGAACAGCAAGGCTTGCTAAATCTGGAAAATTAATGAAAACTAAACTCAGTAGGAAAATGCAGTCAGACACTGTAAACAAGCAGATTTTATACAGAATGGAAACCATGCAGAAAACAGCTGTAGCCACTGCACGGAAGTCCTCAGCATCGGGGGCGGGGGTATCCCTGGAAAAAGCAAGTGTCCTACCTGATCAGATCTGGCTCGGCACCCTCATTCTTAAATGATGCCAGGAGCAGGCGCTCCCGGGTAACAAGGTCATCCAGCAGGTTCTGTCTTCGGTCCCCCTCCAGCTGTGTTCTGCAGACGGTTGTGTTAAGGTCCAACAGTGGGTGGCTTAGCTCATTTTCCCTATGACTTTATTAACTCTTCCAGTCACCTGCAGCCACTGCAGGCTCCACCCACGACCACCCGGAAGAGGCAGTTCTATTTTCCAGACTTCCATCCTTCAGGTAAAGACTGTACGGCTGAAGACGGATACATAAACACTGACACAGATCGCTATGTGAGTCCTTTTGCTGAAAAATACATGAGGTAAAGCTTCACTTTTTGTTTTTTACTTTTTTTGCCAGGGAGCGGTCAACCAGGGCCAGGGCCATCTGGCTGCAGGAGTCCTCAGGGTTAAGCTACAGGTGTTAGCTCTCATGGATGTTTGCACACTCATCAGTACCCTAAGACGACGACGACGGGACGGGATAGGCTTGCCTAGTAAGAGTGAGGCCTCTCTGTCTGATTCTAGCAGTGCATAAACAAACCCAAAACACCCTCCCCAAGAAACCTACGGCTTGGAAAGAGGGAGGGGTCTCCACCATATATAATAGCTCTGACGGAGGCTTCTGGAAGGCTGCTTTGATGCAACCGTGTCCTGTAAAAGCTGTTTCTGTCAGCTTATTAGTTAAAAGTACTAGGGATCTTTTTGAAAAACTACAAACGCGTTGTACTTGACACATTATTCTAGTAAATGTGGCAGACTAGGGGTACGGAGGGCAAAGCCACTGCTGTGTGTGTGTGTGTGTGTGTGTGTGTGTGTGTGTGTGTGTGTGTGTCTCGTGTGTGATGGGGGAGAGGTGTTCAAGTCACAGTGCATGTAAAGGTCAGAGAACAACTTTGGATTCCAAGGATCCAACTCATGTCTTCAGGTAAGCATGACAAGTGCTTTATCCACCAAGGTAATCACTGGCCATGACTGTTCCTTTATATGTAACTCAAGATCATTTACATCCTTTGGTAGGTTTTTGGTTCTGGGACTTGAACCCAGAGCCATTGGATTTACTGCTAAGCCACATCCTCAGCCCCTAAACCCAAAGTTCCTTTGTGTTTGTCTTTCTGCAACAGAGTTTATTATGTAGCCCAAGTTGGTCTCCAACTCCCCATCAGCTTCCCTAGTGCAGAGATTACACGTTTGTGAACTGTGAACAGCCAAGGTTTATATACTAGCTTTCTGGAAACAAAGTAGCAGACGCTGAGTTTCATTCCTGTGTGTTCTCAGAAATGAAGCTGAAGCGGAGGCTGCTTGTCCTTCCAGCCTGAGGACAGGAGTTTGGATTCCCAGCATCTATGGAAAGTTAAACCTGGCTCACCTGTAACTGCAGCGCTGGTATGAAGTGGGAGTGAAGACAGGCAGATCCCAGGAACTCTCTGGCTGGTCACTCTAGCCAAATCCAAGAACTTGGGGCTCACTTAGAGGCCTCTCTCAAAAGAATAAAGGCCTCCACATCCATGTGTGTGTATAACCACACATGTATACACACCAAAAAAAGTAAAAGAAATGTGGAAGAAAACTCCATCACAGGTCAGGGTACAGGAAGTCAACAGTTTTGAAAGGATATCTCTGACTTCTCAGACGCAAAAGGAAAACAAGCCACTTCAAATCTGTTGTATCTGACTTTCTTTTTTTCTTTCCTTTCTTTCTTTCTTTCTTTCTTTCTTTCTTTCTTTCTTTCTTTCTTTCTTTCTTTCTTTCTTTCTTTCTTTCTTAACCAAATGGCTCTGTTTCATCAAATCTGAAGGGCTGGCAATGTGAAGCAGGGCTGGCCACCGATACCCATTCTAGCAACAATATAAACATGAGAGACGGCTGCTTCTGATTACAGATTTTCTTCTTTAAAAAAAAGGGGGGGGGGGAAGCGGGATCACCAGGGGCTGGAAAGATGGTTCAACAGGGAAGGGTGCCTACTACCAAGCTTGAGGACCTGAGTTTGACTCCTGGTACCCATGTGGAAGAAGTAGAGAACTGACTCCTTCAAGACCTCTAAGTGGCGCATGCACACCAGGGTGAGTGTGCCCACACGGGCACATAACACATACACGAATAAATAAATGGAATAAAAAATGTAAAGGGTCACAAAACATTGTGTTCAGGCCCCAAGCTTCTGAGAACTTGACAAAACCAAGGATTAGAATCACTATTGCCTGAAAGTGAAATGCACGGCTCAGGGATCTACAGGCTCTGCTGTTAATTTTGCACAGAAGAGTGCTGGCTAGCTAATAGGAACAGTAAACAAACCCAGGCAAAAGAGTCTCCCTCAGTGACAGAGTTATTAGGAAAATCATAAATCTCCAACCTAAGTCTTTGAGGCATAGTCACTCTACATATTAAAAAATAATAATAAATGAACTCTCTCAACATTCCGGCATGCCACACTTCCCTGGGTCAAATCACTACCATTACTTTTCCATTTTCCGCTGACAGCAGTGGCAGTCACCAAGTACCCCATCTTGGAAATCATGAAGTAGCAACTGTAACTAAGAAACAGAAACCTCAAATATTCCTCTTCTTTAATAAAAAGGGCCAATATTAGCCTTTCAATCGATGCCAATCAAGAACAAGTGTCTATGTCTTTCAAATTATTGATAAGCTGCCAATAAAGCAGAAAGCTTTTATTCAATTTAAACAAAGTTCCTTGCGTGGTAGGGCAGGGAGAACATACAAGCTGGGGCAAGAATTATAAAGAACAAGATAAATGGAAATTCTAAATTGTAGGGCTACTGGTTATGTAGCAATATTAGCTAGCCTTGCCTACATGCTCTGCTCAACTACCCTGTCAACCTTTCATTCCGTAAGAGATTTCAGTACCCAACCACCCAAGCAAACATACACTGGCCATATGCTAAAATTATGCACAAACTCAAATGGTTCTGGAACTTAAACATTAAAAGAGAAAATTTTACAAGCATTATTAGAATACATAGAATAGTTTAATAATCTTGAGTGAGAAAAAAATCTCTCCAGGCAAGAATAAAAGTCTATAGATCCTGAAGAAAAACCTAGAAGCTGTGACTACATGGAGAGGGAGAGGGAGAGGGAGAGGGAGAGGGAGAGGGAGAGGGAGAGGGAGAGGGAGAGGGGGAGAGGGAGAGAGGGAGAGAGAGAGAGAGAGAGAGAGAGAGAGAGAGAGAGAGAGAGAGAGAGAGAGAGAGAGAGAGAGAGAGAGAGAGAGAGAGAGAGAGAGAGAGTGTGGTATACACCTGCATGAATAGTTCATGGACACTAGGAAACCAGTGGTCTGCCTTGGATGCCTTCCTCCACTGTGTTCCAATTTGTTTTTGAGACAGGGCCTCTCATTGAACCCAGAGCTCACTGACTGACTAAACAGAGCCAGGCTCTTATGTGCGGGTTGGGGGCCCGAACTCAAGTCCCCAAGCTTGCATAGCAAGCACCTTATCCACTGAACCATCTCCCTGGTCCAATTATACAAAAGGTGAAGTCTCTGCAAAATAAAGTTACTCATGACAAAAAGTAGGCTAGGGACATAATACCACAAAGAAAGGGGGCATCGAACCCTCTAGTGGAAAGACAGCTGCCTGTGAGTAAGAGAAACACAACTCTAAGATACTTTCTTGACCTACCAGATTGGTAAACAGACAAGAGGTCTGCAAAGGACCCAGGCACCTGGTACCTGCCTACATTCCTGAGGGAAATGTAAACAGGTTTGACCAATTGCCAGACTGCCTTCTATGACCTAAAGAGACATTCCCAACAGATTCACTCATAAATGCAAATTCAATGACTTGAGAGCTCAGAAGTTCACTGCAAAATTATTTAGACAAATGCTGGAAGTGCCCTAAATATCCACCAGTAAGGAACTAAGACATCTATGCAATGATTTCCTGCTTGACCAAAATGGAGGGAGAGGAGAAGCAGCAGGCTAACCAGGGGATAGAGTTCTCATGAAGATCAGGCAGGGGGGTGAGCGTGTGAGTGTGTGAGCATGTGAGAGTATGTGTATGTACAAAAAAATCTTACAGAGGCCTGTAAAAAACCATCCCTAAGGAAAGAGAACTGGCAACTCAAGATATAAGAAGGACTGAATGACATTTCGAATTGTTGCTGCTTTTTCCTTTCATCTGTGACCATGGTGTATGTGGTAAAAAGAAACAAAAGATCCAGAAACACATTACAAAGTAGTCCCTTTACTACCTGAAGAATTTCATATTAAGTGTGGGGGGAGGTGGGTGAATGTGAGAAAGCCTGGGATGAGAAACTCCAACCATTCACATCATTTGTGTTGAAGAATGACATAGGTCAGGATGGCACTGTGGGAGAGAAAAGAGTTCTTAGAAAAAAAAATGTATTAGTAGGAAATATTTTTAAAGATTTATTTATTATATATATATATATGGTTCTCTACCTGCATATACACCTGCATGCCAGAACAGGGACTAGATCCCATTATAGACAGCTGCAAGTCACCATGTGGTTACTGGGAATTGAACTCAGAACAGGGACTAGATCCCATTATAGACAGCTGCAAGTCACCATGTGGTTACTGGGAATTGAACTCAGAACAGGGACTAGATCCCATTATAGACAGCTGCAAGTCACCATGTGGTTACTGGGAATTGAACTCAGAACAGGGACTAGATCCCATTATAGACAGCTGCAAGTCACCATGTGGTTACTGGGAATTGAACTCAGAACAGGGACTAGATCCCATTACAGACAGCTGCAAGTCACCATGTGGTTACTGGGAGTTGAACTCAGCTGGAAGAGCCCCCAATGATCTGACCCGCCAAGTCATCTCTCCAGCCCCCAGAAAATGTTTTTATAATAATAAACAACAAAACCTCCAAAGGTACGTCCTCGAAAGTAACAGACACACTCACAGATTTAAAGTAATGCTCAGAACGCACCATTGAGACCAACGTGGGAGGCAGCATGAGCTGATGACTGGGTCTGCAGAGCAGTAACTCTGATGCTACAAGAGCATTCGGATCCCTGAGGCCAGTTCTCATCGTTTTCCTAAAGGGAAACTGAGAGCTACACAAACAATCAAAGCTAAAGCCATCTCTTTCTGCTC